ACACACACACACACACACACACACACACACACACACACACACACACACAAATATATATATATATATGATAAACCTATCAGAAATTCTATATATTTCATTTGAGGCAAATTGGCTGATTGGCTGCCAATAATTAAACAAATTTATAATGTTTTTTAAATAATAAACAGACAGGCACATCTATGGGCAGCATAGTTGTTACATGTGGCATCACATTTAAACCAAACGTCACGCAATGATTCAAGTCAAGTCAAGTAACATGGCAGTGCTTTTTCAAGCACTCATTTACCCAAAATGTAATAAATTGTGTTAAGTGCGAGAAATAAACCGTCTCAAGCCTAAAACACTTTACCTCTTCCATCAAAAAATGGATGTATAAAAGTGGTTTAATGTATACAGTCTTGATTTGTGTGGTTGAATCAGTCTGTATTGCTTTCCTGTCCTCTCAAACCCCAGCCAGTCGAGGCAGATGGTTGCCTATCCTGGGACTGGTTCTGCTGGAGGTGTCTTCCTGTTAAAACAGAGTTTTTTCTTTCCACTGTCACCAGTGTGCAGCTCAGGTTGGGAGACTACGACAAAGTGGAGATTTGATGTGATCTGCTGGCTTCTTTAGGTAGATAACCTTCGTTAATTGGTATTTTTAATGTATGTGATCGTTCCTGTACAGTGCCCTGGGACAACTTCTGTTGTGAATTGGCGCTATATAAATAAAGTGAATTGAAATTCCAAAACCTTTACATTTATCACTGCAGAGACGAAACGCATCAAATCTGAATTTGTCTAGAAAGGCACAAGCGAGCTCAAACAAAGTCCTAGTCCTGGTTTTCCACTTTCCTTTGACAGGCCACACATGTCAAAGCCATTCCATCGCTCTCCTCCTCCCTGTCTTCTATGGCCGTCCTTTAGGAGGCTGGAGCAGGTGTGATAAATGCTACAGTTTAAATCAAAACCACCACCCCTCTCCCGCCTCGCCCCTCTGGGGAAAAAGAGGGTGCCTCCATGCAGACTGATATCAGGAGGCCCAGTCATATCCTCATATCCTGCAACGTCTGACTGATGGTCTGTCTGGATAAAAAATGAACTTTATACCCACCACGCTAGTTATGATTCATATGCTCAGCACACACACCCACCCCCTTTAAAACTGTGCTCGCTTGCTGGAAACAGTATCACATGGATCATATGGAGCTGCATTGGTCAGAAAATACCAACAAAGCGTTTCCAAATGAACAAAAACATCAAGCGCTGCTCTGTCTGTTCTGTCAGTGCTGTAATTGTTCATAGCAGCACCAAACTATTCTGGCTACAAAAAAAAAAAAAAAAAAAAACCCATACATTTGAAATATTTTCCCTTCATGTTGTTATTGACAGAAGTTTTGCTCCGAGCGCTGTCAAAGACGTGTTTGACCGACGTTTCCGTTTGGTGCTTCAAGCCCTTCCATACCATCATGAGTGACAGGCAGGCAGAGCACCGGGGTCACATTACTCACAGTTAGCATTCTGTTCCTCTTCTTTCCTGCGCTAACAACATGCTGAAGCGTTGCACTTTCCTCTCCAAATGAGAGTAGGCAGTGTGGGAGGTGGTGGTGCAAATAGAAAAAAAATTATATAGAAGAAGAAGACAGCCCCGCGTTACACTCCAATTAGTTTTCCATCTGAAAGTAAAAGTATATTTGCTGACAATTGCTAATGATTTATCTGTAAGTTCTTAACGTGGTCGCCAAGAGTAGAACTTTAAGTCAAAGGTTTTGAGCGTTAAACATTTTCCAAGGGAATTTATACCTTGTAGGGCGCCTGTGGCTGAGTGGTTAGAGCAGTCGTCCTCCAATGCAAGAGTTTGGGGTTCGATTCCACCTGCAGTCACATGTTGAAGTGTCCCTGGGCAAGACACTGAACCCCTCATCGCCTCCGATGTGTCCCATCAGTGTATGAATGTGATAAAGCTCTGATTATTCTTTGTATAGATCTAGTAGAGTGCTGTATGAATGGGTAAATGAGGACACAGATTGTGTTGTAAAGCTCTTTGAGTGTCTCGATAAGATGGAAAGGTGCTATATAAGTACAGTCCATTTACCATTTACCTTCATACGCTTTGCAAAATCAAGTCACAGTTCATGTGGTAGCAACAAAAAGAGCTCTTCAGTTGACTCGTACTCTCAGGGGAGGAGCAGTTTTAATGCTTTTATAAAAGGAGAGGGGTCCATGTCAGTGGAACAGCGTTTAAGTAATTACATCATTTATCTGTTAAACTGATGACAGATGGTTAAACAGCAATGGAGATTTTAGCCTCTTTTTGGGATGCTCAAGCACTGCTGAATTTTAACTCAGCACCCCTGAAAAATAAAGTGATATATATATTTTTTTTGTTGTTGTTGTTGTTGTTGCGATTCTGGGTTTGGGTTCTGTTTATCACATTTATGAATCAATGCAACAAAATAAATAAATTTAAAAGGTAACAGATCAATGTAATACTTGGATCATTTACATAATGACGCTGGATGTCCGGCCCCTGAGCTGCCGGCTTTCAGTAACTGTGGCCCCCTGAGCAGTTTAGTTGAATAACACTGCTTTAGAGGGAGGAATACAGTTTATTCCATTTCCAAAACCTAAACTAAGTCTGGAAAAATGTAAAAGATGGATAAAGACCTGTGGCCGACCTCGTGAACAGCAGAATACAACAGTGATAAACAGGAAGTAGCACATGTTCATCTGTACGAAGGTAACTGCAGGTAAAGCCTCCCATTTTTGTCATAATTACATTGTACAGTATGCTTAATAGTTACATTAAAGGTTAATGCTTGAAGCTAGTTGTTCTTTGTTTTGTGTGTTTTATACAGTATTTATGTTGTAACTTCTGGTTGCATAAGTTTAGTCTTTATTTGTTATGATCAGTTAACACTAAACTGATGTTGTACAAAGTGTTTATTAGGTTGTGTAATGTAAAGCAGAGTGCTACGTCTGTAGCATCGTAGCTAACACGTTTGTATTGCACGCCGCTAGCTTAGCGCTACTTCTTGTTGTGCCGAGCTCTAAAATAGTTACTGAATCAAGTGTTTACTTACGTAGGTAAACGTAGATGTTTAACAACTCGTTAAAATACACCAGAATACAGGAAATGGCATCTACTTTATTCAAAATGTTCTGGGGGAAAACCGCCAGATCCCCCCACCAGTGTGTTCCCCCAACATTATGAATTTTTCTGATGCCAATGGTCACTACGATGTTCAAACCAAGAGCCATTGTCAGCACGGGGGCTAAGCACCCCTAAAGGTCAGATTCTATATTTGCCCCTGGTTAACAGAGTTTTAGAAGAACAGTGGCATCACCCAATAATTGCAAGATTAAATCTAAAATGTTGGAAAAGAGAAATTTTACATTTTATGTTTTACATTTAACTGTCTAATTGTTACATAAGTGATGTGACAGGTGGCAGACAAATGTGACTGTAGGGGATAGAGCTAGGAGCTCGATGATTGAGAAAAAAAAATGTATTATGCCACGTATGTTGGTCTAGAAATGAGGGTTAGTTTATAAAATGTCAGGTCGTGTGATGTACATGACGTACATATGCAATTCACGATGTGCTCCTGATACATACTGGTATGTTGCATAATGCACTGGGTTGAAGCGTAGAAAAGTACCAGTGTACTTTGGCGTCAGCATGGCCTATGCTGTATTATAGTGGTGTAACCATCTTGGTTTTGTTGGTGTGGTCCTTTGTTCTTATCGTGATGATGCTGCAGTGTATCTGTAGGAAGCTTTACATCAAAAATATTTAGAGCTTCAACGGCGTGGACGTGATGAGGTTTGTTTCAAGCCCAGTCATGAAAACCACCACTGACATCACATTTACCCAAAAGTGAATAAGCTCTGCTTTACCTCCGAAATGTCACAGAACTAAACAAACACAAAATGCAGCGAGGCTTTTGTAAAACGGGTGTTGGCATCAAGGATGGACTTCTCCATTCTCTCTGACAGATTAAAGCTGAACTTTGAGACATTCACAGCAGAGACGAAACAGACAGTGACTGACGTACTTACCCTAATGAGACCTCTGTTCCTGTCGTGCTCTTCTGTGTGACATGATTGAACGGGCACAGGGTATAGGTATACCTGCAGGGGAAGCAGAAAATACAAAGCAGTTTAAGTGGGATAGTTTAGTTAATTGATCATCAGTTTTACTTTTATCACCCCCTGCTAAAGGAAGAAAAGAGAGCGATAATGTTTTATGCTGTTAGTATATATATATATATATATATATATATATATATACTTTGTTGTTTTCAACCAGTTTGACATGACTGTCAACAAGGATGGGGGCAGGCAATGGAGGAGGGGGCGTGACAAAGAGACCAACTTATCACCAACATAACTGGTTTGTTCCACTTTGGAGTAAGCTGTTGTGGCAAGAATCAGTTTTGTGTTGTGTGTTTCCTTGACTGATGAAGCCTTCTGGATCAAAGGCGAAACGTTTCAGCACAAAATAAAAATAAAAAAAACTGTTCAGATGACCTGACTGAAAAATGTTGGGCTGTTAGTATATGTTTTTCTTTTTTTTTTTTTTTTTTTTGTAAAATATCCAGTAAACTACTAGATGGATGTTAATGAAATGCTTAAGAAACAATTCATTGTATGTAAAACTGACAAATTTTTGAAGTCAACTCAATTTCTAATAACCACCACAGCTAATAGAGTTTAGTCGACACCAAAATGGCTGTAAGTCCGTGTTACCACTGTTGAGCTAAATCTGGTGCAGTATTTCAGAGTCAGTCAGAGTCAGAGTCAGAGTTTCTTTATTGTCATTCGCACCTCATGTGGTACATGTGGTGGAGCGAAATTATGTACACAGGGTCCCAGTTACATCCAACAATAAAATGTCTAAGAAAAACAGTAATAACATCTAAGATATGAACTAAGAAAAACATCAACTAAATATACACTAAGCACTCATAACATAAAACATTGAACATCAGCACAAACATGAACATGAGTCTGTGAGCAGATGTGCACGCATGAACACATCAACATTGAAACAGATCAGCAGCAACATGAAACAGATCAGCAGCAACATGATATGGTTTTTCACAGTGATTATTCTAGTTAGAGATTCATGAGTCTAACAGCCTCAGGGTAGAAGCTGTTCCTCAGTCTAGTGGTTCTACACTTAATGCTCCTTAACCTCCTTCCTGAGGGGAGTGGGGCAAAAAGTGTGTGTGCTGGGTGGGTGGGGTCCTTCATGATGCAGGTGGCCCTCTTCCTGCATCTGGAGGTGTAGATGTCTGTGATGGTGGGAAGACTGATTCCGACAGACTTCTGTGCAGCCTTCACCACTCTCTGCAGAGCTTTTCTTTCTGCAGCTGTGCAGCTTCCATGCCACACGTTGATGCTGGAGCACAGGATGCTCTCCACTGCACACCTGTAGAAGGAGGTGAGGACTGAGCTTCCCAGACCAGCTCGCCTCAGCCGTCGGAGGAAGTAGAGTCTCTGATGAGCTTTCTTGATCAGGCTGGTGGTGTTGTTGCTTGCATTCACAAGAAATACTCAAATCATTTCAGTTCAGTTCATTTATATAACACCAAGTCACAACAGAAGTCATCTCAGGGCACTGAACAGAAACATTCATATACATAAAAAGTAAGTTAATATTATTTATCTGAGGAGCAGACTGCTTTGAGTTTAACCATCGCAGACTCATCTTGAGCAAGCACGAAGGCGACAGTGGAAAGGAAAAACTCCCTCATGAGGAAGAATCCTTTAGCAGAACCAGGCTCAGGACAAGCGGTCATCTGCTTCGACTGGCTGGGTTTGAGAGGAACAGGAAGGAGGAACAGATACACAATGGCAGGTCGAGAATCACATGCTAAGATAGAAATAATATCAAATGAAAACTATTCAATTTTGGCAAAACATTTAAGGAAATGAGTTCAATTTGTCCTCTAGTAGTCTAATCTTAAGGCAGACAAATAAAGAAACTTTGACTTTGAAAAGAACACACAAAGAAAGCCTCACAATATTACAAGACCATGTGAAACGTTATATTCTAGGTTTGCCCTGAATTGTTAAAACCTGGTCCAAAAATGCTGGCATGAAAAATAATTATTTATTGGATGTTTACATTGACACCTTTTTTTATTTTACTGATCTTTTAATGACAATTTTTGCTCACAGGACAAATAGAAGTATAAGATTTTAGCCCATCTAAGATATTTATTATTACTAAAATATGTAAAAATCTTTAAGAATATAACACCAAAGTCCAAGCTCAATCAATAATAATTTAAGAATATAGTTTTTGTTGGATGCAATGAAAGGCAGCTTTCTGCAGCCGGTAAAGACGAAGCTTCTGAGGTACGTGAAAAAGTCTTTAATTTTTTACAGAGGTTCTCAAATGTAAAACAAAGCACCACCCAGTGTGCTAATTAAAAAGAAATTAAAGTAGATGGCTAGAAGTAAAAATGAAATAAAATAAAATTGCAGACAAAAATGCATTCTTTTACAATATGACAATTATGGGATAAAAAAAACCCCAATGTAACAGACTTCCCTACGGTTGATTGTACTCCTAAGTAACACTACAGAGTAGTAATGGTTCTGCCTGGTTATTCAAGGGTTAGAAAAAATTTTGACAAAAAAAAAAATTGGAATGACTTTCAGGCTTTGTTAGAAAAAAAAAATCATGTTTATTGACTGCACAAAAATTAACAAATAAATAAAAACATTGACAAAAATAAATGTGTGGCTGATTTCCCTCCATAGGATCTTCCAAGTGTTAATGGAGTACATAAAACTGTTACTGCCAATAGTGGCAAAGCCCCACACTGAATTATCATCATACTGCTGTTTGGTTAAGCTCTGTTGAGCTTTTAAGCCTCTTCTGAGTTACTGTTTTCAGCCTTGCAGCCAACACTTCAACAATGTTTATTCTCAATGATCATTTTGGGATTGTTTCAAAGAGCAGCAGGAAGTGTTTCTAAACCAACTAGTTCTTTTAACCCGTGCTTCTGGCTCTGCATCGAACACCAGCTGAATGACAGGACGAGACAATAAACAGCTACAAGCATGGGTAGAAATCCCAGGGGGTCAGATGGTATAGGACCCCCCCCACACACACACACTTTTAGAAAACCCAAGATTGTCCCACACCCTCCAATAAACCAGAGAAAATTATATTGAAAGAAATGTAAAGAAAATAAAACATATCCACCATTTAAAAAGGCAAAACTATGAAAATATGCCTTTCAAAAATCTGTCCCCACCTCATCAGTTCGGTCCATTGGAAGAGGAAGAGGGGAGTGCACCTGAGTGCACCTGAAGTTTAAAAGAGTGCGTAGTTCTTGACATGTTGCTCTTAACACTCAACAGTTTTGATCCAACAAAGTTAAGTCAGGTCATCTGGATGGTTTCTATGCTGTAACGTTTCGTCCTTCATCTGAAGGACTTCATCAGTCCGAGGAGCCACAACAAACACAGTCCCATAAGTGGCACGCTCACATAGTGGGCCAACCAATCTGATGGTGATAAGATGGTCTCTGGAGTCCACCCTCTCCCCTGTCGACTCCTCTGAGGCAGCCATGGACAAAGTGGTTCAAAACATGAAAATTGTGGCTACTAGGACTGATGAAGTCTTTTGGATAAAAGATGAAACGTTTCAACACAAAGAAACCGTCCAGACGACCTGACTGAACTTTGTTGGATTTTCTACCTGGATTATTGAGCATGAACTTTGATGTGTTGAACCACTTTGGCTATGGCTGCCTCAGAGGAGTCGAGGAGGGAGAGGGCGGCCTGAGAAACCATCTTATAACCATCAAACTGGTTGGTCCACTATGGGAGTGTTTTGCTTGTGGTTCTTTGGACTGATGAAGTATTTTCGACGAAAGGCGAAATATTCCAACACAAAGAAACCATCCAGAGGACCTGACTTAACTTTGTTGGATTTTCTACCTGGATTATTGAGCATGAACTTTGATCAACAGTTTTGACTTCTGCATGGGGGAAAGAGGTTCAAGCCTCAGTGAAACCTCAGAAGTTTTCTTGTTATTCAACTCAAACTGAAGTATTTTGGCTTTTTGTAGATGACAACAGTAAAATATATATATATATAATGTTTAAAGGGATCTTTGATTAGTAGGAAGAGTATGTCTTTAAAAGACTGAGCTTAGTGCAGCTTCTCAGACTGACAAAGTCTTTTGGATAAAAGACGAAATGTTTCAACAAGTATCCGTTCAGAGGACCTGACTCAACTTTTTTAGATTTTTCTACCTGGATCATTGAGCATGCATCAGAATAAGAATAGATCTTGTTTAGTTTCAGTACTCAGTTTATATTAATAAACACCACAATAAATAAAAGCGTTTGAAAATATTTTTATTTAATTCAGTGGATTTATTTATTGGACGTGTGTCTTATGCCTCTTAAAATGCTGTGTTTATTTAAAGTTAAGATCTTGTAAAACTGCTACAAAACAGTGAACATTATTCAGTGACCATAAAAGGCAATTAATCCAAATTAAATCTATATTCAAAGTGGACCTAAACAATTTTATTGTATTGTGTATGGATGCATGTATGATGTTTAGCAACCTGTTCATAAAGTTTTTATGGTTTTATCCATCCATCTATCCATTATCTTCCGCTTGTTTCGAAGTCAGGTCACGGGGCCAGCAGCTTGAGCAGAGAGGTCCAGACATGTCTTTCCACAGCCACCTCTTCCAGCTCTTCTGGGAGGACTCCAAGGCGTTCCCAGGCCAATCGAGATATGTAGTCTCCTCCCAGTCGGACATTCCCAAAACACCACCCTAGGGAGGTGCCCAGGAAGCATCCTTACCAGATGCCCAAACCACCTCAACTGGCTCCTCTCGATGTGGAGGAGCAGCAGTTCTACTCCGAGTCTCTCCTGGATAACTGAACTTCTCACCCTATCTCTAAGGGAGAGTCCAGCTACCCTGCGGAGGAAACTCATTTCAACTGCCTGTATCAGCAATCTTATTCTTTCGATCACTACCCAGAGCTCATGACCATAGGTGAGGGTAGGAACGTAGACCAGCCGGTAAACAGAGAGCGTTGCCTTACAGCTCAGCTCCCTCTTCACCACAATGGACCGGCACAGAGTCT